AGTGGCTGATCAGAGGGGGATTGCAGGGATCTCTTTGCCAGTGCTGAGGCAGGAATCTCTTGCTTTGCCCATACTTGGATCTAGATCACGGTCCTGGGTGGTGATCATGGGACAAGAAGGAGTGCTGGAACTTGTAGTGGTGGTGGAGAGGAAATCCTCCTCACAGTTCCAAGACATAAAAGAGTGCTTGTGGTCACTCATAGACCAGAGCACAGGCCAGGAAAGGAGTAAACACTTCGCCCCTTATCATACCATCTTGGAAGAACTGAAAATTTACAGGTCCCTAGAAGTATCTCTGAAAACAGTTGTACAAACCCCTGAAGATTGGGATGGTACATTCTCCACATTGGAAGCAGACTCCTACCTTAACAAAGAGTTTAAAACTCAAGTAATTGTCTGGGATCATGAGCAAACCTTGCAAAGAGTCAGACCATAGAATCTTTTTTTGATAACAAAGAAGGTCAAAACATACAACCAGAAGAAGACAACAAAGTCAAAGCTCCTACATGCAAACCCTCCAAGAAAAATATGAGTCAATCCCAGGCCTTGGAAGAGCTCAAAAAGGATTTTGAGAAGCAAGTAAGAGAAGTAGAGGAAAAACTGGGAAGAGAAATGAGAGTGATGCAAGAAAATCATGAAAAACAAATCAACAGCTTGCTAAAGAAGACCCAAAAAAATACTGAAGAAAATAACACCTTAAAAAATGGCCTAACCCAAATGGCAAAAAAGGTCCAAAAAACCAATGAGGAGAAGAATGCCCAAAAAGCAAAATTGGCCAAATGGAAAAGAAGTCCAAAAGCTTACTGAAGAGAATACTTCCTTAAAAATTAGAATGGAGCAGTTGGAAGCCAGTGACTTTATGAGAAATCAAGACACTGTAAAACAAATCCAAAAGAATGAAATATTAGAAAGCAATGTGAAATATCTCATTGGAAAAACAACTGACCTGGAAAATAGATCCAGGAGAGATAATTTAAAAATTTTTGGACTGTGTGAAAGCCATGATCAAAAAAAGAGCCTAGATATCATCTTTCAAGAAATTATCAAGGAAAACTGCCCCGATATTTTAGAACCAGAGGGCAAAATAGAAATTGAAAGAATCCACCGATCTCCTCCTGAAAGAAACCCCCAAAGGAAAACTCCTAGGAATATTGTAGCCAAATTCCAGAGTTTCCAAGTCAAGGAGAAAATATTACAAGCAGCCAGAAAGAAACAATTCAAGTATTTTGGAAACACAATCAGGATAACACAAGATTTAGCAGCTTCTACATTAAGGGACCGAAGGGTATGGAATATAATATTCTGGAGGGCAAAGGAGATAGGATTACAACCAAGAATCACCTACCCAGCAAAACTGAGTATAATCCTTCAGGGGAAAAAATGGTCATTCGGTGAAATAGAGGACTTTCAAGCATTCTTGATGAAAAGACCAGAACTGAATAGAAAATTTGACTGTCAAATACAAGACTTAAGTGGAACATGAAGAGGTAAACAGGAAAGAGAAATCAAAAGAGACTTATTAAGGTTGAACTGTTTACATTCCTGCATGGAAAGATGATATTTATTACTCATGAGATCTTTGTCAGTATTAGGGTAGTTGGAGGGAAAAATTGTATTGATAGATAGATAGATAGATAGAGGACACTGGGTGAGTTGAAGATGAAGGGGTCATATCTGGAGAATAAAATTAAGGAGTAAGAGAGGATTATATTGGCAGAAGGAGAAAGGGAGAGGTAGAACAGGTTAATTATCTCACACACAAAAAAAAAGAAAAGGCTCTTACAGTGGAAGGGAAATGGGAAAGTGAGAGAGAATGAGTGAATCTTATTCTCATAGGATTTGACTTAAGGAGGGAATAACATATATACTCAATTGGTTGTGGAAATCTGTCTTACCCCACAGGAAAATAGGGGTGAAGGGAACAGGGGAGCAGGGGAATGATAGAGGGGAGGGCAGATTGGGGGAGGGGGTAATCAGAAGCAAACACTTCTGAGGACAGACAGGGTCAAAAAAAAAGAATAGAATAAATGGGGGAGTAGGGTAGGATTAAGGGAAATAGAATTAGTTTTTCACAACATGACTACTGTGAAGTGTTTTGTATAACTGCACACATATAATCTATATTGAGTTGCTTGCCTGTTCAATGAGGGTGGGTGGGGAGGGAGGAAAGGAGAAAATTTGGAACCCAAAGTTTTAAAAACACATGTTTAAAAAAAAATGTTTTTACATGCACCTGGGAAATGAAATAAGAAATACAGGAAATGGTATACAGAAATCTATCCTGCCCTACAGGAAAATAGAAGGGGAAGGGGGATAAGAGAAGCGGGGGAGAGATAGAAGGGAGGGCAGACTAGGGAAAGAGGTATTCTGAATACATACCATGTTGGGTGGGGGGAGGGGGCGAGATGGGGTGAAAATTTGGAACTCAAAATCTTGTGGAAGTGAATGTTGAAAACTAAGAATAAATAATTTTTTTTAAAAAAAAGGAAAAAAAAGAAAAAGGTATTTACTGAAGCAATATAGCAAGAACATTTGGTACAAAACATTTCCTGCAAACTGGGAGTTCATTCTCCCCCTGCATACATAGTGTCCCTTTATTGAAAAAGCTCAAAATTAAGGATGCATGTAGCAAAGTTGTACCCTAAATCCTGACACTGGGATGCCTTTTCTCCCTTTGTGAAGTCTTCATGAAATTTCTTTCAGGTATAACCTGATAAAGATATTAAGGGGAAGGGCATCTTGTTAATTGAGATTGGGGTGAAGAACTCTATCCCTTACCTTACATTGCTATCCCTAGCAATAACAATAATAATTATAATAATAATAACAATACTTATCCTCCTGCAGTTTTTGACATTAATAGCCATCTCCTTGAAATAGGTTTCTGTGACACTATATCGTTCTGGTTCTCTTCAGATCTCTCTCTTGCATTCTTCTTGGTGTCACCCCCCACTCCACCCCCAAGAACAAATGTTTTCCAGTGTTCTGCACTTAGATTCTTCTTTTTCTTTTCTCTTTCCCTTAGTGAAACTTCCTTCAACTGTCATATCTATATAAAAGATTTCCAAGTCTGAATCTCTAGCCCTGACCTTCTTCCCAGCTGCAATGACCATTTATACATTGGATTCAGCATATCTCATTAATTAACTCAGAGAATGTAAATGTACAGCACCTACTTCACACCATCAACCCAGCCTTTCCTCTCAACTTCTGTATTTATCTTATTTTTATCTAGTTTTCCCAGTCACTCAAGTTCTATACTTCAGGCATCTCTGACTCCTCACTCATCCCCCACATCAATCACCAGATTATACCAATTCCACTGCTACAATATTGCTTCTAGCCACCCCCTCTCTTATTTTCCCATTGTTACTACATCATTCAGATACTCATTACCTTTCACCTAGACTATTGCAATTACCTCCTAACTGGTCTTCATTGCCTCCAGTTTTCTCCCTTGAATCCATCTTACATACAGCTACCAGATTAATGTTCTTAAAACAGAGCATTAATTATGTCACTGTTCTACTCAGAAATCTTCATCCTTTCTCCATTGGCAATTGAATAAAATTCAAATACTTTAACCCAGATTCATATCTGCCAACATGTGGTCCCAGATATTTGCAGCCTTGCCTTCTATTGCCCCTTTATACTTCTCTGTACATTGATTAGTTCATATTTCCCCAAAACACCCCAAAATTTACTGCATCCATCTTTTTGTACTTGCTGTTCCATACCTGGGTTCTTTCCACTCTTCTCCATTTTTTTCCTGTTCAAATTCTATGCATTTTTCAAGGCCAAGTTATAGTACTATCCAATTTTTGGAGCCTTCCTTGAATCATCTAGCGGACAGCTCTCCCTCTTCTACAATAATACAGAATTTTATTTATGTCTTTTTTCTGGTATTTAACAGTTCTACTTTAGATTCCTATTATTTGTGTTATTGTTTTATCTCCCCTCTTAGATTATAAATTTACCTTCTTACATTCCACAATCCAGCTAAACTGTCATTTCTTTCTTCTTCACTCATGACACTCCGTCTCCCATCTCTGTTCCTTTACACTGACCACCCTCCCACTTCCTTTAAGATATAGCTCAAGCACTTAATCTGTCGCCGCCTCAATTTCCTCATTTGCAAACTATAATTATAGCACCTATACCACAAAGTTACAGTGAGGAATTAAATGAGATCCTAACACAGTGCTCGGCATGTAGTAGTTGTTTAATAAAGAATTGCTGATTCTCTTGACTGAAAATAAGGGCCTATGCCTTACTCATTTTTGTACCTCCTACATCTCCCTATCTTGTAATCAATAAATATTTATTAAATGAATCAGTGATTTTTATTTTTAAAGCAAGAATCTTGATAGATTCTATATTCTCAACTAACAAACCTTGAATTTGTGGTAACTTACATATTACTTTATTTTTAAAAGGATTTTATATAATTGATAAACTGAATTTTTACTACCCTATGCTGAATTGACACTCTCCATTTTGGGTCACAAAAGCTGTCCATTTCTTTTATTTTGTAATATTGTACTACAACATTGTAAACTCTTATGCTTTTATTAACAGCTGGCAGGTTAAATCCTATTCTTAGAGTACAAAAATATTAATTCTATTTCTACATCATGGATCTTTTCTACACCTATGATTCAATTTATAAGAACACTGATTTAACATGGCAATAAATCTTCTTATATATAATTCCTAATCATTTTCTAAGTGATATATCTAACCAGAGAGTCACTTAAAAAAAAACTAGCTCAAAATGTCTTTAAATGAACATTTTAATGCAGTAATTTTTAATGGTTAAAAAAAAATCTGATTCTAGGATGCCTTTAAAAATTGTGTGACACCTAACTGATATGGAGCATCCTATTTATAATGTGGGCCAAGCACCATGCTGTAAACCAGTTACTATCATGATGATCAGATTGAGAATGAAATTGCATTTCTGTCAATTACTGAGTTGGCAACTGTTCAATATATCTTAGCAGCAAGATGAAGAGCGACGTCGGCAGCTGAGAGAGCGAGCTCGTCAGCTAATAGCAGAAGCTCGATCTGGAGTGAAGATGTCAGAACTTCCCAGCTACAGTGAAATAGCTGCAGAAAAGTTGAAAGAAAGGTCAAAGGCATCTGGAGGTGAGTTAAAGAAGCTTGTATCATATTCCAGTAACAACCCAAAAATCAGTGTTGGACCTTTTGGGCCATTACTTTTATTCATACCTCAAAATGTTGTAGCAGGTATGTAAGGATGCAAAGTGGACATTTCTATCAGAAAAACCAGCACATCAGATTAATGATTTTTGTGTTTTCAAACTCCACTTTACTATTTTAATTCTCAGAAGCACAACATACATTGGTAATCATAGTTCACAAAATTTATGAGCTATGATTTATGGTTTTGGCCAGAGTGATATCACATTGATTATAACATGATTATTTTGCATAAAACCCAAATAAAACTTCAAATATACAAGAGTACATATGACCTTTTACTGGTAAACTTTGAAAGTAAAACTTTTTTTTTCTACTTGTAGCATATTTTTATGAAGACTGACTTAAAGTCATCTTTTGCCATTTAAATTTTTGCATTATAGCCTACTATATGGGAGCAGTAGTCATTGGAACCAGTTCTTTGATACATATCACTTGTATATAGTTTGTATTATGTTATTTCAACCCTAAATTCAAAATATTACTAAAAGTTATATTTTTTCCAATAATATTTGCTAAAGCAATATGGAGTGTAACTCAAAATTTGAACACTAGTTTCATTTAGTCTCCTTATTCTCTGGATGCCATCTTTATACTCTACAAAAATTATCTTAAGGGGCAGCTAGGTGGCGCAATGGATAGAGCACCGGCCTTGAGGTCAGGAGGACCTGAGTTCAAATCCAGCCTCAGACCAAACACTTGACACCTACTAGCTGTGTGACCTTGGGCAAGTCACTTAACCCCGATTGCCTCACCAAAAAAAAAAAAAGTTATCTTAAGCTTATTATTGGGATAAGGGCTATCTTTCATCTAGCCTCACAATCATTATTAAATCCAATATATATTATTTTAAATATTAATTATTAAAGAGAACTTTATCTGATAGTGTTCATTTCAGCCTATGTTTGATTTGGAATTTCTTGTCTTTTTTTTATTTCTTTTGGATCCAAGAGGGAGAGAATGCTTAGAAGGGTTGTATTTTTCTATCAATGTAGTCCTTATTCATCTAGTAAATGATGCCAAAATACTTCTTGTTTTAAACTAATCTCAGAATGCTGGGATCACCTTGAAGAGTAGGCAAGTATGGGCTAGAATAAGGAGTTAGGAGTTGAAAACTGGGTAAAATGTTTCTTCAAAGTGAGTTCAAGCTGTAGGGCACAAAGAATAATTCTTTGAAAAGGGTTCAATGTTTGCTCCTGTTGCTGCTATTCCTAGTTGATTCCATATATTAAATGCTTCTGTTGCTAAGAAATTACAACTAAATGCTTATAGTGCCCAACCCCACCTTTCATTAAATCTGAAAGTTCCTTCTGCAAATAATCTCATATCTGTCACCTTACTATTCCTTTCAGAATTTTTTATATCTTGGTGAGTTACAACCTTCATCTTACTTCTTCATAAAGATTAATAACCTAGTTTCTTGAACTGTCTTGAATAAGTAAGATCTTTGACCTCTTTTATCATTCCAGGTTTCTTACTGCTGTACCTTCACTATTCCTCCATCAGTTCATAGCCAGCTTACTAGGACTGCTTGCAGCTTCACAAACATGGTTTTATTTCTCCAGAGCCAGGAAGTTTTCCTTTCATTTATATTAATAAAGTAATTTCATTTGATATACTAATAATTCATTTTATATGTAATATATATATATATATATATATATCCTTTAGTGGGCTCAATTCTCACCTTTTAGAAAAATTCTCCTATACTTCTGACATATTCCCTCCTTGAGCTACCAATGTAGCCTTCCTTCAAAATTCCAAAAAGCAGTATGGCATAGTAGCAGTGGTGAGAATGCTATGACAACCAGTGCTATAATTTTTTTAAGGTTGTGATTAGATAAGTATGCTACTTTAACTGGTGATCAGCATTAGAGCTATGGGAGCTGAGAACCGGGAGAATATTCCCAGCATGAGCTATGAGGTGGAAAGAATAGATGAAGCAGGAAGTTGTTCAGAAGTCTCTTTGAAGATCTTAGATCAGTTAACCTAAGGGGATCCAAGTGCCTAGGACCTACTTCTCCAGCAGATGTTGAGCATTGGGATAGAGCAGATGTTGTCCTATGGCCAAGCTTGACTTTGAGTGAAACAGCACCATTTTCTGTCATTAACTGAGCCCCCTTTTTCTTTCCCTTCATTGGGAGGGGCAGTTCAAACTAGGAAGAGTCATGCTGGGAGTAATTTAGGAAAAGAGAGAGGTCTAGAAGACCACGAAAAGCAGTCCTTTTTCCTCTCTTAGTTACACTGCCTGAAATTTTGCCAAGTTGAGATTCATTTAAGTTATTTCAAGATGGAAATAGCTAGGCTAGGTATTAGACTTATCTATCTAAAATTATGACATAAATTCATTTAATTAAATTGTCTTTCCCTCTAAATCTACCAGTGATCAGGCCACATAAGTGAATGGGAGTCACTGAACATGTGCTTTGAACCTTTAGGGCAGTGGTTCTTAGCCTTTTTCGTATCATGAATCCCTTCTCAGAGTTTTGTTTTTAAATGCATAAAATAAGATCCAGCATTACAAAAGAAACCAATTATATTGAAATACAGTTACCAAAAAAAATTTTTTTAAACACATTCCTGATTAAGAACCCCTGTGTTAGGGGATTTGGCTTCCTCAGAATTAGGTGAAGGAGCCAACTTTGTGAAAAGAAGAAGTATCCCCCACATGCTGAATAATGTAATTAGAAATGTCTTCTCCCTTTATCTTTTTTCCCTATTCCTTAGCAATGACCATGAACTGCCTCTATAGTGATATAACAGAATAATGATGACTTATCAGAAACACAAACTAGAAGTCCATTTAGACCACTGATATAAAACCTCACAAAGAAGATTCTTGCTTGCTGTGAAAAATTGAACTAGAAAACTTTTGTGGTTGCTTCCTTTGAACTAATTATATATTGTTTAGACCATGTATAGTTATGCATATCAGCAACTTAGAGGAAATATTAGTGGCCAACAGACCAATTTTTCATTAGGCCTTTGTGAGTATACAACAATTTCTTTCCTTGATAAGGACAAAATCACATTGTAAATTGATCTTTTAGAATTTTAGAGCTGGAAAAGACTTTGGAATTTAATTAGTTTAACCTTATCATTTTATGTAGCTAAAGAAACTGAGGCCCAGAATGAATCGACAATATTTTAGAGGCTCAAGTTAGAGCTAGAAGGTACCTTAGAGAACATTTATAAAGTCACTCATTTTACAGATGAGGAAACAAATCCAAAGAGGTGAAGCAACTCCCCCAAAATCCTGGAGATTGGGAAAAAAAGCAGAAGGACATATAAAGTTTGTCTCCATTTTAATGAACATACACAATGGAAAAATGCAAGGAAACCTCTGAGTGTTGTAGCCTCGATAGCACTTTTCAGGTTCTTCCATGTTTTCTTATATGTGCCTTTGTCAAAGGTTTCAAGACCCTTTCAGTCAGGAGGGACTCTGGCAAAGACAGTACCTATAACATATACAATTTTGCCAAGAGTTCATTATTATGTTTTGAGCTAGATTAAAAAGTAATTTATTTTTAAGGAAATTTTAACATGCAACAATGGAGGAATTGTTGGACTTGGAGTTAGGAAGGCCTGGTTTAGAATCCCACCTCAGATACTTATTAGCTCTGTGACCCTTGAAAAGTTACATAATCTTTCTAATCAGGTTTTGAAACAGGATTTTTTAAAACTGGGTTTCAATTATTATATATATGACTGTTAAAAGGAAAGTCCTTCATATACACTTTCTTTACCTCTTGTTATATATTTTATGTATAAATTTATATTTTAAGTACAAATAAAGCATGAATAACTTTAATACTTTATAGTTTGAATAGCTAATTCTGAAAGAATATACTACTTGTCTATATGAATTTTGTCAAAGAAAGTTCTGATTCCAACATTTGCTCTATTTACTATTAAAATGTTTTAATGATGCATTTTATGTTAAAATTAGTGTTTTCCACCTTTTATTTGAGTCATACATAGTAACTAAAACTTCGGTTGAGTGAGTTTATAGGTAATGGTGGCTCTACCCAAAATGGAAAGTTACTGTATGGTTGAGGGGTTTTCTAAATTGTAAAGGAAATTAGGGTCTGGATTAGAGATCTGTAGGCATTTTCATTTCTAAGAATCAGATCTTTATGATTATTGTAGTATACTTTTACTATGAGAGGCAATGTAGAATAGTGAATAGAAAGCTGGCCTTTGGGTTGAAAGGGCTTGGTTTCAAGTGCCACCTCTGACACAACTTGGCTATGTGACCCTAGACATATAACTTAGTCCCTCAGTGACCCAGGCAATTCTCCAAGGCTAAAAGCTGCAAAGAAGATATTGATCTACCTTATAAGTTCCTTACCAGGTAGGAGTTCCCTAAACAGAAATCATAGGTCAAATATAAAAAGAAAGTGTTTACTTTATTAATAATAATAGCTTTCATTTATATAGAGTTTTAAGGTTTGCAAAGCCCAAAGTATTATCTGATCTGATCCTCACATCAACTCAGTAAAGTTGTGTTATTATTATCCCCATTTTACAAATGAAAAAAACTGAGGATCAGCAAGGTTATATGACTTTCCAGTAGTCATAGAGCTAATTAATGTCTGAAGTGGGATTCTTCCTGACCCCAAGTCAATACTTTCTACATTACCCATGTGTTATACTATCGATAATACTATTATCATCTTATTAGGATTCTTGAGTTCCACATTAAAGTATTTTGGCAATTATTAGGTATTATAGGGCTGGCCTCAGCCTGTGCTACTGATTACTTATTGAGGACCCCCATTCCGTTTATATTTCTATGTTATCTTAATGCCTAAATCTTAACATAGTTGCATAAATATGGTTATTAGCTTATTCTTACTAAAACATGTAACTTGTATAACCAGCTCTATTGTGCAATGCACCTTCCAGGTTACCTCATGTTTCTTGTTCACTCACCTAATTTTCTACCCACTATAGTTCAACCCAGGAGAGGGATTTTCAATAGATGATCTAATATTTTTTGGTAGCCTGGAACTTTGAGTTAGATAAAGAAAACTGTTAATATGCATAAAGGATTGCCACAGGTGTTTAGAAATGCTGCAACATTAACTGTTTAAAAGAATTCAAGGGTTCATCCTGAAACCTAAGGCACTAAATGGAGAAAGGAGAAATCCAGTCTTAAGAGTAGCTGAGCTTTATAAAGGATCAATTTTTACTCTTCCCCCTCCCAAATAGTAATCCTTTTATCTGGGGTCAGCAATACATACACAAACATTGAGTTGCCCTCTCAATATACTGGGGAGTAGCAGTGTAGATAGGGATCTCATCTAGCCAACCCAATAAAATGAAACTGCCATTGACCACTGTAGTTGTTTGAACATCTCACAAGCATACTGCCTGGCATAAGGTGTTCAAAGTGGTAGATGATGAAGCCTGCAGTCCTCTGCACAACACAGGGACCTGGAAGCATCCATATCTGACCGCATTTCCAGATTGCACCCTCACCTAGGCATGGTCAAAGGAAGAAAAAAGACGGGTTGGTGGTAGAAAGATGTATTGGATCCCTTAAACTATGTTTTAACTGCCACGGGCATAGAGTAAAACCAGAGGAAGAATTCTGAACCCATGGCAGGTACTCAATAAATACTCATTGTTTGGAAATGCAGGAAAATATTGAGAATAAAATAAATGGATGGATTGAGTGATTGTTAACCACATTTGATCTGAATCCCCCTTTATTGGTATCTAGTTGATATCTAATATCATCTAAAGTTTAAGCTTTAGTCTGATTTGGGGAGATTTACTTTTACTTTTTAAAAATCAAAATAAAACTTTCTTCTAATTCTGTCTTCTTTTGTAAGTTTTCTTAGTCTTTCTCCCTCTTTTTCCAAATCTTGCTGCTTTAAAAGCCATCTCTAAAGTCCTAACTGTCTTCTTAAACTCTTTTATCTCTGATGTTCTCTACCTTCATTGCTGGCTACATTGAAACCAATTCATTCTTATTTCTTCTGGGTACACTTAGATAGTTTAAAGCCTATGACCTTTAGATTTAGGGAATTTATTTTAAATCAATGGAGTCTTCAGTGGAAGATCAACCTGTCATCAACTCCTTTTCATTTATGATTTGATAACATTAAATTACATTACCTCCAAATTTACTTATATCAGGATCTTGAACTTATTCTAACAGTATTAGTTTTACCACCCTACACTTTCTTCTAATTTTTGCCATTCTTCATTGAATGCCACAACCAGTTAATATTTCTTTAAATACCTGCAGTCGTACACATTGAGATATGTTGTCTGCTCAGAAATCATATGTTTACTCTGGCTTCCCCTTTGCTTTCTTTCTGCTTCTAAGAATATTATATATTGATGTGTATCTTTGACTGGCCTTTTAAACCCTTCATAGAAAAGTGCCTTTTACATTCTGTTGCTGCTATACTAAGCATTTATTTAAACATATCTTGAGATATTAAGTCCTAGAAACATTAAAACTTCATAATGTCTGAGATTCTCTGTAATACTGCCTTTAATGAGAATGATTACCTTTTACTTGCTAGAACACTGAATACTGACTGAGCTAAGGGAAGTTTCTGCATTTTAGCAACTCCTATTTAGGTAGTGATGGCTGGCAGAGTACTTAAAAGCCAGGTGACAGATTTGCAAATAAGATTTCTGCTGTGCTTTACCAAATGTATGAATCTAAACTTTTGCCAGGTGACCATTCTCAAAGCAAGTGAAAAAGAAAGAAAATAGCTAAATTGCTCATATTAAAAATGAAAGAGAATATGATTTATTTCAGCGTACCATGTATTTGAAGGTCAAATATATAGCCAACTAAGCTTTCCCATTTCAGTAGCATATGTTACTTTAAATAATGTTAATTTTTCCCAGCTCTAGGTCTTGCAAAGTCTCCTGTCTTAGTTGCTTCTGAACTTTCCTTTATATGTAAGTGTTTTCTGTATTCTGTTCTAACCGTAGTCTCTTAATCTATCCCTAATACATATTTTTTTATAATAGTCACATTCCCTGATAAGCAATGAATCAAATCACTTAATATTCACATTGTTGTTCACATAATTCATGGTTGTAATTTTATTAAAGTATTTCTCCTTTATTTATTCTTAAATCCAAGATTTGATGCAATTGTAAAATTAAGGTATATATTTGGCAATTTTTGTTACCATACAGTTTGCGAATGTTAGTAATGGTAGCGGTTATAAATACGCTAAAGTGAACTGTCTCCAAGAGGTATAATGATTTAGAGATATACTTAAAATGTGGCAAGTTGTAAATAAAACTTTATGTAATATGCATATTTTATGTGGCAATTCATATTTGACCTATGAATTCAAAATATGAATTTTAATCCACTAGTGAAAAAAGTAACATCTCTGACTAATTTCATCACTTAATGATCTGTGTCAAACCTGAATTTGATAAACTGTTATTAAAACACTGACTCTTAACTGGTATTTTGCATGAATAAAACAAAATAATAATATTCTTCTAACTTTACTGATACATCTTCCTACAGATGAGGATGATAATATTGAGATAGATACTAACGAGGACACTCCTGAAGGCTTTGTTTTAGGAGGTGGTGATGAACTTACTAACTTAGAAAATGACCTTGATTCTCCTGGTAATTTTAAATAATAAATGTTTCTTGTGCTTTTGCATGGCATACTTTGTATTTATGTGGTTTTGCTGCTATTTCATCAATAATAATAGATGTTTTTTACATTTTTATTAGAGTTTTTGTAAATCATTACCTAAAGCCAGCCCATAGCATGTCAGTTTGTAAATTTGTTCCTGTCATTTTTACTTTGTAGTTCAACTTTAAAGTCAGAAATAAAATTGGAATAATAGGCAGTTGCTTATATTTTCCCATTATTAAGATTCACTTTCTCACCTTTTATCCTGAAGGTTTCTGTAGGACTGGTCCCAAAATATATTTATTAATATTAACTCAAAGTCCTAAATGTAAGTCAAACCCTTGGACAGTAGTATGCAGGCTTTTTTTTTTTTTTTCTGATTTCATTTAAAGTTCTTGATTTTCTTTAGTTGTAATATAATGATTGAGATGTTGGGCCTATTCCAAGATGGACTCAAATAAATCATGCCACTGATTGGCCTGCATCTTTTTAGTAAAAGCTCTCATTTGGGTTTTTTGCACACTTGTAATTTGGTTATCAGTGCCTTCAAAATCAAATGTAAGTAACAGTTATCCAATTGTTTTAAGGGCTTTCATGCTTTTTCTCCTTATTTAAAAGTACAGAGGAGGGCTCCCTAATATTTAATTTTTTCATGTTCAGAGCTAAGAAGGACAGACAGCAGGAATTACATTACATCTCTGGTACACCCTACTCTCAGCTCCTCTATGCTGACCTGTACCATGCTTTGCCTCTCTCCCTAGATTAAAACAGCAAAACATCATCATCCCTCAGATAAACCAGTTGACAGAGGCTCTCTTGATTAACAGAGGGCATACTTGATAAAATGTGAGGTCTGGTCCAAAATTTCTATATGCTTTTACTAAGGAAATTCAAATGTAAAAATGTTGGTATCTAAGGAAAATTTCAGATTTGTTGAAGCAAAAGACTGAACTGCCACTTTGAAATAATGTGAATAAGGGTTTTGGGAGAGGTGCTTTATAGGAGGGGGAAAAAAAGGTAGTTTGGCCATTCTCATTTTTACACTTTTCCTCCAAAATGATATTATTAAGGGCCAGCAGCATTGCTTATATTTGTAGACCTGCCTTTGATTCCTTGGGTGTTCCATAATTATAAAAGCAGGCAATGAATAGGATTTGAGATTAAATGTTCACAACTTATTGAATTCTAAATCAGCGATAATAAGTGATATTCACAAACTAAATTTCTAATGGATTACTTAACCAATAACTAGTCATTTCTTAGGTAGGAGAAGGAGAAGATTCCAACATTAGCTGGAATCATATGAATTTTGATGGGAAATATATTTCTAGCTTGGTTAATTTTAGCCCTGACCACCTTGACCTGTGTCTTTTTAAAATATTTTCTTCCAATTTAACATATACAATAAAAATTATATATCTATGACTTCTAATTATTTGGGCTAAACTAATTTGGTCTAAACCTAGTTGCAGGTGATCAGGTTTACCAGTAAACATTGATTTATTAATACATAAAGCTTTCCCATTCACATCTTGTAATATATTTCATGCCGACAAGAAATGTGAATGTAACTTAAATCATATACACTTAGAGTATCATGATTTATTTTATTCCCATATCCTTTTTAATCCCTTTGTATGGTTTTTATATATTATATAATACATTTTGCTCTACCATGATCCAATCCAACATTTATTAAACATTTTTTATGTGCAGATGCAAAGCACTACAAATACAGACAAAAAAACAAAACAGATCCTGTCCTCAAGTAACTTATAGTCTGTAGAATAATGTAAAAAAGAGAAGCCTACTCATATAAATTGAATAGTTTGCATGACTATACCAGTAACCACTATTCAGAGGCTTCTAAATGGAAAGGCATAGGTCTTAAAAAAAAGTTTCTTTTGTCAGATGTTTATATGATCAGATTTTTTTTAATTACCCAGAAATTCAATAAATTAGCAAGTTTAAGTTAAATTTTGTCTTCTACTTTTTTTTTACTGAATAATATAATCAAGCATGAAAACAGATGCTAAATCAAATTGGACAGATGTTGCTTCTGCATTTCTTAATGCTTTATTTCAACTGAATGCAATTAAAAATAGCAATATATTAGAATGTCTTTACCACATAAAAGAAGATGTTATAAACATATGATATTACCTTGCTATCTTTAAATATCATAAAATATGAATATAATCCTATTCAAGTACAACCTAGTCCAATCCATTTCAACAAGCATTTATTAAGTATCTACTGTGTGTAAGGCACTGGAGATACAAAGAAAAAATAAAAATAATTCCTGCAACGCATATGCCTGAATATATAATACACTTATGTATTAATAATTTCTAACGATGTATAGAATGACTATATCATATTAAGAACTTATAACGAAGTGTTTTGATACAATGGAACATATATGTGTGCATGAGAATTGAAAATATGATAGGAATTTGCATGGTAACAAAAACACTATAATTTAAAATTACATATGGCTGCTATTTTGAATATTCATTTTATAGGTCATTTAATTACAAATATATGCAAACATGTCACATACCCATCTATGTTTCCTCACATGTATATGGAAGTACTATTTATTCAGAGGCCACTTTCTCACCCACTGCCGTTGACAGTAACATGGGATAAGAGTAGGGACCAAACCTATGACTTTCTTGGTCTAGGGGGAGTTCCTGAATGAGGAAACTGCCTCTGCAAATGTAGCTCAGCACTTTCTCTAAAACTTTGAGGCTTAGAGAGCTGCTTGGACCACAGAGAGCTTAAGTGATCTGCCCATTGTCACACAGTCAGTGTTTATCGGAGCTGGTATCTGAACCCAAGTCTTCCTACTCTAGCCTGGCTCTATCTCCACTGTGCCCCAAGGCATCCAACCTTTAACATAATTAGATAGATAGTTCTTGATGTTGATCTTAGTAACTATGTGGGAGGCAATGTAGTATAGAGAAAAGAGCCCTGGAGTTAGAGCTAAGCCCTGGATTCAAAAACTGCTCCTGACAGTTTTCTGATTGTGTGACCCTGGGCAAGGCATAAAACTTCTCAGCGCCCCAGTTTTCTCAGTGATGTGTATAAACTTTCCCTCACAGGATTGGGAGGTAAGCTTATAAAACTTAAAGCTCTGCATAAATCCGAACTATTCTTGTTTTGTGTGTGTGTGCGTGTCTGTTGACTTATTTTGTGGATAAAGTTTTGAAAGAAAAGACCTTTTCACAAACAGAACATTAGGCTATATATGCTTAGCTTAATATAATTTTAGAACTTATCTTCTCCCTTTAATTTAAAATTATAGTAATGTTTATGTGATTTATTCTAAAATTGATAGACTGCACATTCACTCAGTTGTATATGGTATTTGCATATTTAGCAGAACAAAACAGTAAATTGGTGATGGATTTGAAAATGAAGAAGCTCCTAGAAGCTCAGCCACAGGTGGCAAATTCCCTCTGCAGCGCTGCTCAGAAAGCTGTGACTGACGACTCAGAGCAAGATGTGAAGGTAAGATTTGTGGCAGGCTTTGGTCTCAGGACCTGTGGGGAGGTTCTGGATTGACAATTTCATACCAAATCCTCATGTTAAGATGTGCAGAAAAATTGTTTGGTTCAAAGTCCAGTGAAGGGAATTTCATTATGATAATGAATATATTTTTGCTTATAGCTTTTATAAGGAGCTATAATTTAATCTGATTATTCTAGTAAAATTAGAGGATCTATAAAAAAACATTCTGAATTTCTTGAAGTGAACCTTGTCATTTTCTAAGAAAAGAAGGCCAAGAGAAATCCAGCATGCTTTCTCCTGTTTTCCCCAGCCTTTATACCTTTAAAATTTATCAATACTTTAAGTATAATAAAATTCCTGTCACATAATTAGATGGGTGATATATGTAGAAATATTAAGATCCAGAAATGGGCTCTATATATGGTTGTGTGATTTTGCCACTGACAGCATTTTAACCAGACTAAGCTACTCTCCATTTTTCACTCTTATTTACTATTAGGCTGTTTAAATTATCACCACCCCTGCTTTCCTTATTCCCCTTCCTTTTACCTTATGATTAATATCTTTATGGCTTTGGGGCACTTGCAGTTCTGTATAACTTTTCACCCACCTGCAGACTGTGGGGACTGCCCTGCTGACTGAAAGGATTTCCTTCCCCAGATACAGAGATTCTTTGAAGTTCCAAAACAATGACTTTCATTGCTTTTCCCTTATACTGTCGGTTTCTATAAATTGGTGATGAAAGTGTGTGGCAGCACCAGAGGACTTTCAGTCTCTATCTTTGAACAAAAGGAAGCTTGGATCAAGTCTGATTTTTTGCGTTCAATTTAGCTTTCTGCAGTGGATTTAATGCAAAATGAAGCTAGCCTAAGAATAATACAATGGATTGAAAAGGCTAACTGAATTAGTGGGTTTAGAGGAATACATTTGTAAAGTGGCAGAAGTCCCTAGTCATAAAAAGGTTTCTTAAAATGGGATTTACTAGCTAATCACACTGATATTTTAGCATGTGCCAGGCCTAAAAAAATTAGCCATGTTTGTTTATTTTGATAAAGACTTGAGTTCAGACTATTAGTTATTGTAATAGCAGTAAAATGTATATCTATTTATATATATTAAACCAAAATTATTTTCTCTCCAGCAGTAAAACTCAAAAAACATAGATGTGATCATCAGCAAATGATAAATTCATTGGACAACTTGTAAAAAATAGAACATAGACATTTGTGTGGCTTATCAAAATTAAGAAATTTTATATTTCTCTTTCTCATTTGCTTTAATTTTTAAAGTTTATTCCAACAATAGGTGTGTCTTAAGAACTTACCTTTGTGTGGGTCTTTTTAACTTAGACCTTAAAAATGATATTTAGAAAGGACATATACATTGGCCTTCAGTTCTTGTGGGGCTTTCTGCACTGAGTTGGATTTGTTTTTTAAATAAAATGCAGTTTACACGTTTATAAATGAGGCATTCTGTGTTTGTGGAAAAGGATAAACTGTTACCTTCCCTTGAGGATTCTGTATCCCAGGCCTCCTTGAGGCTAGAGAATAGGCCATTGGAGAACTCCCTCATTACTGATTGTCTCAATGCAGAGGAAGGGCAAAGTCTTGGTAGCTTTTGATAACCAGTTTCAGCATTCAGCAGGCTTAGCTATTAGTCATGCATCTTAGCCTTTCCCTATTTACTTTCAAAACACTTAATAAAAATAATAAAAGATTAGGTATAAAATGAAATATTTGTTTGGTACACAGCACCTCGGTATCTGCAGCTTCCACACATTGCAGTGGTTCAGTCTTCTGGGATATTTCATGTTGATAGAACCATTTGAATTTGTTACCAGTATTAACATAGGAAGCTCTGGAAAAGATAATTGTAGTTTCCTTAGCTGTAAAGGGCTTACTTACAAATCTGGCTTTGGAAAGTTATAGCTGATGAAATGCAGTTCATTGGGGTAGTATTATAATCCTACCTTTTAGCCTTCATCCAGCATTAGTGGTTTATCTCAATGGGCATAAAATTAGAAACTAGTTATTCTTGTCATACAAGTCTATGGGTCTATATAAACCGATATAATTCTTTACTGGACAGAATAGTGGAAGGAAAAGACTTGAGGCAACATGGCTTTATAATCACAGATCATGTGGATACAAATGTTTACAAAGTTTTGGGGGTTTTCTTTTTTTAAGTAATGATACCTGCTTAAACTGTATTTCACCCAAGTTGTTCATTGAGGCAATAGAATTTGCATGGTAGTGATTCAAAGAGTATAACTGTACCGGAAAAGCTTGTAACCATCAAAAAGTTTTATATTTTGCCCTTTTAAGTAGCTAGTCCTCTCACCCACAAAAACTAAAAGTCTTGAGAGTCAGAAAATTTAGAAAAATTGGTGATGAAAACTTTACCTTTCAAATTGTGAGTTTACTATTTTAGACCATATTAATACTATGCATTTTATTTTTCTGATAGAATGGGACAGAAGATCACCGAGCTGAGCAATTACAAAAAGCAACAGAACGTTTTAGAAATCCTGTTGTGTTCAATAAGGATTCTACAGTCAGAAAAACTCAACTTCAGTCATTCAGTCAGTATGTGGAGAACAGACCAGGTAGGAACATTTTTTTAAAAATGTTTTCCTAGCCTATGATTTAATAGTATTGAACAATAAATATATTAAAAAGCTGATAGTGTAAGTCCTCATTTCAATACACAAATATCAAGCTTTATAATAATTTTACATGTCTTTCCCCTTTTTTCAAGAGATGAAAAGGCAGAGATCAATACAGGAAGATACAAAGAGAGGAAATGAGGAGAAGACGGCAATAACTGAAACTCAGAGGAAGCCATCAGAAGATGAAGTACTTAATGTATATTAATTTTTTGTCTGGTTTCATGATTGCTGATAATTCCAAACTGTATGTGGAAATAGTGCCTTTATTTGTTAAAATGAGATGTTAGGTTTTTTTAGATGTCAATCTCCAGTGCATTCAAAGCAGAGTGAGAGGGGTGCACTGTTGAATTAGTCTGCAGTGTGGTGATAATTGTCAGATAAAAAAAATGAATTTTTCAGAGTTCCAAAGCCCCAGCTTCCTTGAGACATTTCCATCAGGGCACTTCCCATAAAGAGATTCCAGTATTGATCTACCGGGAGGATTTTAATTATTACAATAGCAGATACCGCAGAGCTGCAGTTAGAGGGAAAAGTCACATGAGACCTGCTAGAATTTCTCAGCCAACCCATTTTGTTGGCTTGGGTTAATGGGTGTTCAACCTTTCCATTATCCAGATCAGCCGTGAATTACTAGCTGAATGATGTTTGCATTAATATAATATATATGGTAATTTCTTCACTTAATTAACGGGGAGGTTCAGCTCAGTAGGGGTATGGGCTGATCATGTGTAAAATTGATTTGTGAGGGAAATATTTGATAGACCGCAGGGAGAAAGCTGCTTTTGATGGACAGCTGCAGGACAGAAGCAGGAAGAACAAGTTTTAACCTGAATTTTTGTGTGGAAGTATAACATGGTCTTTGATGGTGCCCTTTTTTCTTGATGTTCACAGTTTGTCTTAATGTCACCATTGTTCTTATTAAGCCAGAATGCCCTTGATTATTGATTTTGTATTCCTTGAAGGAACCCTAAAATTTCTAGTCTAGACCTGAGATTTATTAATGTTCTAACAGCTACTTAATATTTTCAAGTATTTATCTTTTAGAAGACCTATGAAGTCTTAGTAAATTCATAGTGTTTGTATTTATCTGCACATAAGCTCTCAAGACACCCCCAACAAACCATTTAATTTAACTTCTGTTAGCACTTTGAGTATACTACACATTCAAATGAGGACAGTCCAAGAATAGAATTTTTTGCTACTTTAAAATGAACTATAGTAAGTGAAAGTCGAGTTGTATGCCACTTCTTCTCCCCATACTTATTTTCTTCCTCTTACTCCGTATGTAAATAGCATAGTGTCTCAGTTTCTTCCATTTGGATGTTGCTGACAGGTGGGGGCGCAGGGGGAACTCTTTCTGAAAAACTATTGCTGGTAGTAGTTAAATGAGTGGAAGGTAAATAAGATAACTTCACTAGAATATTTTTTAAAAGAAATTTTTGTGCATTTTTACGTGAAGCTGCCATTATATAAGAGTTCTTGACTTTTTTATGCCACGGACCTGAAGGCTATCAATCCCTTCTTAGAATAACGTTTATCACCTGCATTCATAATTGAAGGAACTGCTAGATTTTATTTAGAAGTTGGTGAAAATAGAAGTGTCTTTTTTTTCCTCATCCAACTTCATGAAAACCATCAAATCTATCAATACGGCTTGAGGATCTGTGGACCCTAGGTTAAGAACTTCTACATTATAGTCTGTTTAGCTTTTTTCCATTGTTATAGTGAGGAAGAATGCACGTATTATATGAGTGTAAAAGAGCATCTTATTAATCTTAGCAGATCTTCCTGAGAAGTCATCATTGTTAGTTATCTGAAAGACTTCAACTTTAAATTTGTCAGCTGTTTTAACTGATTTAAAAATCAGTTGATATGAAAATTGAGATCATATGTGAGTGTGAATTAATTTCTAGTTCCTAAGGAGTAGCCTTCATATATCCTTCTTGTTAGATCTCTAAGTAATGAATAAGCACAATCCCTAAACCTGGCCCATCTTTATCATACTTTTCAATCTTGCAACTCTGCTAAGGAGCCTTGGGAGCGAATTCCTCATGGTTTCTTGGAGATTACTGTGTTCGTCTGGAGGGAGGATTCTTTGATGTAGAAGAGGGTTTTCCCCCTCTATTTCTTATCTGGAAGGAGTACCTCAGCAGCAACATAATATTTCTCAGCAGCTATTCAGGCCTCTGTTAAAGCCCCAGGAACGTCTGACTGAACTAGTGCTCCAAAGGGAGCAACAATTAATCTATCTCTGTGACAATAACTGGAGTAATGACTACTACCCAAGTGCTAGTTAGAACTATGTTTGTTTTGTAGTTGTAATCTCAAAATAAAATTTAGGATTCTACTGGCATTTTGCATTTCAATGGTCTTCAATATAGAACTATAAGCAAGATTAATTGTTGGCATTTTAAGAGTCTTCTTGTCATAATGTCTTTCCCAGTATGAAAGGCTATAAAATAGATAAACAGACGTACGGAGTTTTATTGAAACCATTGACTGACCAAATCAGTATACTGGCCGAACTCACTGTTAACAACCATGTAGTGGTGTTTGAAACCACCTGTCAGTGTAGAAAGCACAACTACATTAATTATCTGTATGTTGACAGGGCTCCAGTTCTACACTGAAGAATGAAAACTTGCTTTTGGCAAAATTTGAAGTATTAGAATTTCCTCTTCTCATATTTATGAATGTCTGTAGTAACATGAACATTAATGAATACATTTTTAAGACTGTTTTTTTTTAATCCACTATGTTCAGGGTAGATTGCCTTCTTTAGAATTTATTATTTAACCAAGCTTATTTCCCAGATGTTATACTTTTTGAGCAAAGTAAACTCATTAAACTACTGGTGCTTTATTATAAGTAGTATAAAGGTGATTATAGTGCTTTAGGCTCCTTATCTGTGTTTTAAAAGCTCTGTCAACACTAAGGAAAATTAAGATTTTGTAAACCCAAATGTAAAATCATAAAGACAGATGCCAGTGTAAAAATTTTCTTTATAAAATAGTTGCCACAGTAGTAATATTTGGCAAAATGGTGAAATGGTAGAGTTTGCTTTTTGGTATCAATTGTGATATTTGGTTCTTTAGATAAGTGCTTTACTAAGTGTTTACGGAAAGGAAAAATGCAACTTACAAGTGATTTTTTTTTTCTTGTTTGTTCTCGTTAACAGAAAGGGTTCAAAGACACCAGTCAGTATGTTGTAGGAGAGTTGGCAGCACTGGAGAATGAGCAAAAGCAAATTGACACCCGTGCCGCGCTGGTGGAGAAGCGCCTCCGCTATCTCATGGACACAGGTACGGTGCCCAATTACACTGTAAACAGTTTTGGCAAATTGAGCGTTCACAAACTCTTATAGAGTTTTGGAAGTGTGAATCTTTGAAGCCTGAATGTTCAGCAAAACTGCCTTGAAAATAAAAAGGCTGCGATTTGCAGCCACCTCTCTGGGCCCTGGTGATAAGAGTGCCTTCATGGGAAGTGATAACTCGCCCTGATACCGTGTGAGCCAGCACTATTGAACAGTGTGCTCATCCATGCAGAGTTGGAATACACATCTGTGCCTCATTGATATGCCACTGCTTTAAAAAAAAAAGTAAGATCTTCACTGTTCTACTGATTCATTGGGGGGAGAAAAGATTTGGCCTGCTAAAGCCATGTACTGCATGAAACAGAGCACAGTACATGGGGGAAGGCTCCATTGACTAGATCACTGAAATTTGAGAATACTATCTGGTTACTGATGCTCCACAATTATTTTTTTTTTCAGGAGAACAGGTTTTTAAAAGTCTGTAATACCTTGTGTCATAGGTACATTTGAAAGGATTAAAGTATATACCAAGGTTTTTCCACATGCATTATAGCTGCAAGTTTCAGTCCTAAGCAGAAGTTGGATTGGCATTAAATGCTGATTGCCAAGGGCGATTAAGGAGATTTAACCATAAGAAGCTGTGTGAAACAAAAATTATATGTTTCTTTTTTAAATGTTGCCAACAAAAGAGTGAAAATGTATCTAAAATACACATGCATTTATACATGACACAGTAAGGAGTATATAAAAAAAAACATTGTCTTATTTCAAACTGGACAAAAAAAAAAGGATTTCCTTAGAAGTCCAGGTAGGTACTTCGAATTGCTGCTTTCAGTTAAAATAAATAAATAAAATTGAATAGCATGATTTAAGAATGGCATGCCTACTTGAATTTTTCACTTTGCCATCTTAACTTTGGTTCACAAGGACAGTTTTCTTATGTATACACAAAATGATTGAACTGCCAAATTGTATTTGCAATCATAGAGCCCCCACAAGCATGAATATTTGGAATTGGTACAAAGGCTATGTAAGCTTTTAAATGAGGTATTTAGAAATGGATATACTTAGTAGATGGCGTGAAGTTGTTTAGTTAGCTATATGTATATGTAACAGGTGTCTGTATAACTCATAATACAACTTTTATTATTTCAGACTTGGTTTTTCTTCATTTTAATTTTTAACAAAATTGACAAAATAGAATCCATGTGAAAATGGAAATATTGGGTAATCTTGCTTCTCAACCTTACAGAACTGGAGTAGTCTATGTATATGAATGTATATGGCAGCACTTTACTCATCCAGAGGTCACTTATTTGGTGTCTTCAACTATGTCTCCCAGCTCAGAACTGTGAGGTTAAAAAAAAAAAGGTCACAGCAACCAAAGGAAATGTCACAAAGTCATGCTTATTCCTTTTTGCCATGGGAAACCCCTATAGGCCCTCACTTATAGCCTGTTTACTTTTATTTTAAAGACAGTTGTATAAGATTAATTACCTAGTTTCTTGGCCCACAGTAGATTAGAAGCAGCAAGCAAGAAGGTTGAGGAACTTGCTAGAGCCAGGCACACTCAAAGGAGCAAGAAATGACAGCTAATAGATGTTAGTGAAGTAGGAGACAGAAAAAAATCTAAAAGCAGACACAACAAACTAAATAAACACAGCAGTCAAAGCCATTTAGTGTGGGGACAAATAGCCCAGGACAATTCAGTAGTCCCTGAGAGCATCGAAGAACAGTCTGTTTGATGTTCATAATTACCATCTCAATTCATCAAGTAAAGGTTGAATTATATTTATTATGAATATAATTTTTCTTATGCAAGGAAATTTTAGAAAGATTTAAATCAAAAACATGAAATTATTAACAATTCAGTGCTAGAAGAGGTTATCTTCATTTTTTGAAAAATTGATCCATGTAAAACACTTTGTTCTCCCATGATGCTGAATACATGAAGTGTTTCTCTTATGCATATGTGTCATCTGCCAAAGGAGAGCAGAACTGAAAAAAATGAACACTCATTCACTATGTTCTTTTTCTTTTCTCCTGTAACCCATAAGCCCTATTTTAGTGTGGATCATGACCTAGATATATCGGGGCTCACTTCTCACTAAACTTGAGGCCACTTATAACCCAGATGACTCCTAGAGAGGATTGTATAGCATCTTAAGAACTTTAGTTCCATACCTAAATAGATGCAGATCCTTCTCAGATGGGGTTTGCTCTGCAGCATACTTAAACCTAGGGTCAGGCCCAGAATTAACCTGGTATTTCTAATATTGTCTAGAGTAGTGCCCGTAACCTAGGTCTACTTCAACCCAAAACCCCTTTTTTGTGGCCTGCCTAAAATCTGATTGGCTCCTGTGATGGACACAGGATACTAAACATTTGCCTTTCTTCATCTTGCATGTTGTTAGGTTTCCTGTATGCCTTAACACTATTATAATTACTATTATTAATAATTGTTATTACATATAATGGTTAATGTTTAATGTTTAGTAAATTCATTTGTGCTGCACTTTAAAATTTGTAAAGTATTTTCTTCACACCATCCCTGTGGAATAGATATTATTATTATGTTATTATTTTTATTAATTATTGCCATTTTATAGATGAGGAAACTAAGGCCTAGGAAAGTTAATGATTTGCCAAAGGCCACAAAGTCTGCCATACCTGGGATTCAAAAAATTACTTGACTTCAAGTCAGCCCTCTTTCTAGAACACCCAATTACCTCTGTGTTAGTAATAGTAGTAATTGATATCTACCGTTTTCAGATTACTCTAGTGTGTATTTCCCTATTAATTATTTATTATTTAGTAGCAAGGTGGCTCAAGGGGTAAGAGTGCTGAACTTGGAGCCAGGAAGGCCTGTGTTCAAATGCTATCTCAAGAACTGAGCTGCATGACCCTAGACAAGTCACTTAATCTTTCTCAACTTCCATTGCTTCATCTGTAAAATGGGTATAAAACTAGTGCCTACCTTTCAGGGTTGTGTGAGCTGATGACTAAATCATGTAATAATATTTGTAAAGTGCTTTGCAAACCTTAAAGTGCTCTGTAAATGCAAGCTCTTGTTGTTGTTAGATTCTCACAGTAATGCTATTATGTAGGCAAGGCAAATTTTATCTTTCCCTTTTTACCATTGAGGAAACAGGCACAACAACAGTAAATGGCATACCCAAAGTGAAACGGTGTCATGGAACAGAAACCAGAAGCAACGGCTTTGGATGCCTAGGCTAATGTTTTTTCACTGTAGTCTCTATTTGCCTGTACCCTAAGAATCCCTGATTCTCCTAATAGAGGCTTTCTAGTGCAAATTACAGTTCCTCCATACCCCCAGGAGAACCATGTGGCCAAAAAGAGCTTTCTAGTGATGAAATATTCTATAAAGAGTAAATATATTTTATTTGAAATTTGAAATTTTTATATTGATACCCAACTTAAATTGGAGTCTATTCCCAAAATTCATTTGTAGGTTGGTTAGGATTCAGTATGGATTTCTCCATAGAGACCTAGAAAAGGCCCACAAAAGCCTATTTAACCCATAAAGTAGCTAAACTATGATTAGCAGTAACTCAGAGCCTTATATCACTTTAAAATACCTCCAAGTTCATCAGGAAGCAAGGAATGGGAAATGAGGATGGAGTCTTTGAGCCTTAGATAGGTCCTTTTTATATGGTACCACAAACTAACCAACTTATCCGAATCTAAGTTTCCTCATCTATAAAATAAGGGAAACCATACCTTCACTGTGCACCTCACTGAGTTTTTGTAAAGAGAGCGGTTTGTTAACCTTAGAATGCTATTCAATGTGAGGTAATTACTATTGCCTCAGTGGAGAGCTCCAGAAGCCAGAAAAGTGCTCCCTGGGTCGCCCCATAGCAACATACAGGTAGCATTTCAGGTGAGCAAACACGAGCTCCTGTGGAGGCTTTGTCAGGAGTTGGGGAGGTATTGAAGGGGGTAGGGTGTTGTGGACATTTGTATGGATGGATTCTTGATGAAGTATATATAAATAGATTATCTTCATATAGAGAATATTATATTACGTTGCTATCTGTTTTTAAATTATTCTTACAAGACACATCACTTTCGAACATCCCAGGACTCTGTCAAACTCTATTATAGATGCCAAGAAGTTTTGTACTTCATTTTATTATTTGTGTTTTAAAGTGAACTTTTAAAAGGCACTTTTGAAAAGTTTCCAACGTGCAGTTAGTAACCATCAGTTAAGAACAGTGAAAATTGTTAGACTGAAATTGTGCATGTGTTCTAAGCTGACACTTTGTATAATAAGTATAGCCATGGGTGTATTTGTACAGCAGTGTTGTAACCCCTTGAAAAATGGAGTTTATAATGGAAATGCTGATGGGCCCCTTTACTATAGTGATGCAAATGGTGCCTCTATAATGAACAGGCTTTCTTTTTGATTCTCAACCTGTTTTCATTTGATGGTTTTCCAACTTCCTTGGATGGAACAGTAATGCTTTTAAATTTCAATGGCTTAGTAAAAAAAAAAAATGGTGACAATATTTTATTTACATTTTGTGAGTAAAAATATAAACATGTGGGGGGAAAGCAACCTCTCAACAAAAGAGCATCTTGCTTATAATTAACTTCCTAACCTCTAAGGACCTGACTCTGGGTAAAATATCCATCTCTGGCCCACTTAAGCCCACAGATCCAAAAATGTTACTTAGTAAAAGACTCTCTCCTCTGCCCTTTATCCTTACCCCCACCCCCACTTCCCCCAAAACAGATTATCTGACCATTAAAATATATTAAATTTACTTGGGGAAGTAGGGAGTGAGAATTCTAAAAAATGTGCTTCCCTTTTTTTGTACATTACAACAATTTTAAAGTCTCATTTTGGGCTTGGGAATCTAGAGTCTTAGTGCCAAAAGCGTCTCTAAATCAGGGAATGTGGGGGGGTGGAGTCGGGGAGGGCGACAGTAGTGTGTGTGGAAAGCTTAGAAAGCTGTATGGCTTGCT